AATAATAAATAAATAAATAAATAGCAAAACACAGTCTTTTGTGTCTGTATTGTGAGCCTCCCAGGAGACTGAATTGTCATTATTTCTGTGCTACCTGCATGTGCTCAGGATTACATGTATGCATATGTGTGCCAGGTGTCTACATTAGTACAAATTCACAAACAGAAGTGATGTGTAAAAGCTGAATAGACTTGATTCTGAGACAGAAATACTACAGAATCACATACTTTCTCTTTGTGCATATGTGTTCGGTGTGTGTGTGTGTGTGTGTGTGTGTAGGCTTGACGTTGAAACAGGATGTCTTCCTCCATTGCTGTCTACCTTATATATTGAGGCAGCATCTCACTCAACTTGGAGCTCTTTAGACTAGTCTAGCTAGGCAGCTTGCTGAGGAGATTCCTGTTTCCACCTCCCGTGCATGCAGGCCAACTCAAGGTTTCTGTGGTGACAAACTGGTCATCACTCTTTTGCAGCAAGCAGTTTACCCGCTGAGCCATTTTTCTAACCCCATTTTTTAATTTGATGAAATGTTTTTAGGGTTATGAAACATGTTCTCTTTAGAAATAAAGCACATCTAGAGCTGGAGATATAGCTCAGTGGTAGAGTGCTTTCCTAGCTTGCTTTAGGCTCTGGTTTTGATCCTTGACACCACAGAAATAGAAAAAAACAAACAAACAAACAAAAAAAAACCCAGCCTTTTTTAGTCCAAATCATTCTGATAAGGCTAAAGATCTACTTCAGGGTGTCTGATAGTTTTTGTCTTTTTCTAAGTCACATGAGTAACTTCCGTTTTCCCCATCCCTTTAGAGGCCAAAGATGAAAAGAACATTTTTTAAATTACATAGGGGAGCACCGAGGAGATGGCTCACTGGCTAACGAGCCTGCTGTGCAAACATGAGGACTTGGGTTCTGATCCCCACCACCCACGTAAAAGCCGGCAGTGTGGCAGCTCAGGCCGCCAATCCTAGTACCAGAAGCAGGAGACTGCCTAGAGCATAGTGTCCAGCCAATCTAACCTAAACGGAGAGCTCTAGGTTCAAGAAAGACACCCATCTCAAAAAATAAAGGTGGAGTGCCATAGAGAAAGATGCTCCATATTGACTTCCGGCCTCCATGAGCACACACACACAGACATGTACACACATATATACCACACACACTCACACAAAGAAGAAAAATGCATAGCAGATGTACAATATTTCTGTATTTGAAACTGAATACTGGTAACTGCCTCACCATGCAGCTACTCAAAATGTTCATCATCTTATATATACATTCAATTAAACTGATATAGGAATATCAATATGTAATGTAAACATTGTGGATTGTTGGAACATGGAGATTTCTCCATGGAAAAAAAACACTAGAATTTGGAGTTCAGAGTCCTGGGGTACAGCTTTAGCTTTTATCATAAATTATATGAATCAGATTTTTTTTTTTTTTTTAGTTGCAAACATCAAAATACAATTTTGGTAGTTTTCAGGAAAAAAATACCTGATTAAAAAGATAATGGGAATTTCAGCATCACCAGGAAGCCTACAGAATCGGGCTGGGAGACCAGGTAACCGGAATATCACCCTTTGTCACCTGATCATTATTATATAACCTATGCAGTGAGGAAGTCACTGCTGAGTATTAACTGCCACCATTGACTTTGAAGGCCCCAGGCTCACAACTGTCATGGCATCTAGTACTGCTCTAAGTCAACTTGCTGTACTTTGCCTCAGTCACAAAAGACAGTTTTTCCAGAAACTCTTATATATCATGTGGTTCTCAATTCAGTGTGGGGGGGGGTGTTTAATTTGTAATACTGGAATTACATGAAAGGGCACAGAAAACATCTGCCTTCCATAATGAAAGGCATGATTTGCTTCCCAACAAACTCATAAATCATGAACTTACAAAAATGCAAGAAGAAAGTTCAGTGCCCCAGGCAGACAAGTAAGATGACAGTATTCACTGTGTTCACTTTGGACAAATCACTTTCCTGAGCCTAATTTCACTATAAAGCAAAGTTCACATAGCTGAGGAGACTGTCTGTGTTCACTCATTTATTTGCCATAAACATTCATTATGTGCCAGGATGCAAAGATAAGTAAGCTCCCTCTCTAGTGAATGAGAAAAGGCAACAGATAGCAGAGAAATAACACTCAGCAAATGGCAGGATAGAGGCCTGTATGGGACAGATGAGGGCAGAAGGAAGGGGGGAGTCAAAGGATGTGCTTAGTATTTAAATACATAAGAAATAAAGCCCCAGGGCTGGAGACATGGCTCAGCACGATAAAGAGCACTGGCTGGTCTTGCAGAAGACCCGGGTTTGAATCCCAGCACACGTGGTAGCTAATAACTGTCCATAACTCCAGTTCTAGGGGATCCAACAGCCTCTTCTGTCCTCTGCAGGCATTGCATGACACAGGTGCACTTAACTACATTCGGGCAATACACACACATAAAATAAAGATAATAAAATAGTTTTTTTAAAAAGTCCCCCTGTGGCATGTGACGCTTGAAGAACACAGACAGCATGCTGTGGTAGAAAGCTGCTTTTTGCTCCTTTGAAGTCTTAACTATTTTACAGAAAAGCCAAAACAAACAATGTTGACAGGCACAAATCCAGGATTTTAATTGCTTATTGACATTCATGTTCACACTGCTGGTTTCATACAATGGGGCACTTTTCAAAGGACTAAACGTGACAGTTTTGCTGTTCATCAATAGTGAGCTAAATCATCAAGTTGATTGTTGCCTGAGTTCATCCCTATCTGACCCAACCTGAACTAAGTCTGGACTTCGGGGACTTTGTGCATAGTTTTCAGTTATTTTTAGGTTTAGGTGTTTTGTTTTTGCATTTAAACAGAAGACTAGCTAAGGGTTGGGGTGTAGGTAAGTGTTAGAGCACTTGCCCAGCATGCACAAGGCCCTGGATTTGCTCCCAGCACTGCATAAAACAAAACCAAAAAAACAACCCAGCAGCTACACAACAATTTGGACCTCACCCAGTTATACCAAATTCATCATATAGGAATTATAGATGAAATGGGTTTTAATTGAATATTTTAAGTAGACCCAGGAGCTGACAGAGGCCAGCAGGACCACAGGGCTGCTATTTCATACCTCAGTCTGGGGTAGAAAGTTCTTTTCTCAACATTTTTGGTGAGTTAGGTTTCTGTGCCTGAGATTTCTGTCTAAAATTCAGAGGTCTGAGTCCAACTGTTTTTTATTTATTATTATCATTATTATTATTGTCTTTTAAAAACAGTGTCTCTGTGTAGCCCCAGTTGGCCTGCAACTCACTATGAAGACCAGACTGGTCTCGAACTCACAGAGATCTGCCTGCCTCTGCCTTCCAAGTGCTGGAATTAAAGGTGTGCGCCACTACTACCTCTATTATTTATTATTTTTATTTTACGTATATGAGTGTATTGCCTGCATGTATGTAAGTGCACCTGTGTTGTGCAATGCTGGAGGAGGTCAGAAGAGGGTGTTGGGTCCCCTGGAACTGGAGTTATGGACAGTTAGCCACCATGTGGGTGCTGGAGTTCAACCCTGTCTTCTGCAAGAGCAACTGGTGTTCCGAACTACTGAGCCATCTCTCCACCCGCCCCCCCAGTTGTTTTTTAAATCAATGAACTTGATAGCACAAATTTAAGAAGTCCAAAACTGAGTTACTGATTTTCTGCCTCCAAATATGTTCCCTCACAGAAGCTTCTTTTCAACAAGGAGCTCTTCCTTGAGCCATGGTAAGTTGAGCTAGAAGGCTGGAATCCACCTAGTTTTCCAACCCAAATTTGCCTCAGCCTCAAAAATGTCTCTCAAATCCATCTCCCTATCCCCACTACCATTACTTCAGACCCAGTCTTATTAATCAATCCTCCACCTGCCTTCTCTCCACCTGTGTCAAATCACCCACATACTCCACCCCTTCAATGGCTTCACATAAAATTGTAAAATCTTTATCATGGCTTACTAAATACTGATGAGCTTTGACTGCCCTTTGCCCTAAGACATCATTAAAAAGAAGGATAGGGGGAGGCTGCAGAGAAAGCTCAGCTATTCAGAGCGCGCTTACTATTCTTAAGGTTCCCAGCACCTACGTGGTGGCTCACAACCTTTCTTAGCTCCAATTCCAGGGTATCCAAAGCCCTCTTCTAGTCTCTACGGGCTCCTGCACATAAACTCACTCAGGTACATACACAAAAATTGTTATTATTTTTGGCCTTTTAAAGGGTCTCCCTGTAGCCCCAACTGGCCTGGAACTCGCTATGTACCCCAGGCTGGCTTCGAACTCGCAGAGATTCGCCTGCCTCTGCCTCCCAAGTGCCAGGATTAAAGGCGTGCGCCATTGCTGGACAGCAGTATAGCTTCTCCTGAGAGAAACCCAAACCACCCTTCCTCAACTCCTAGTTTTAAATCAGGGCTCCTTTCGTGAACTTAACTTTAAATACACACTCACTTGGTATCTCACAGTTAAACTTCTCAACCAGAGAATTTCAGAACACGAGCCATCTCAGCTTTGTTCCCTTCGGCCCATAACTAGTAGTTGTAGCAACAACGGACATACATCATTTCTTATATATCGTGCACTGTTAGGCCAAGCACTTTACACGCAATACGTGATAGCAGTATGTGTTCTGGCTTCTAGCCAGCGGTCCGTTTGTTCAAGGGGTGAGTCCAGTTCCAATGTGCACAACTGCATGGAGCCCATGATGCTCTTAAGCTAGTGGTGCTTGGAAGGATCTCGGTGTGGACCCCGCTAGCACGCCCCTCGCCAGTTCCCGCCCACCGCTTCTATTTCTGCCCTTTCGGAGGCCAAGCAGTACGAGCCGGGATCGCCTTGCCGGAGCCCCGCTGGCTCCGCCCCCCTCGGGTCTCCCCGGCGCTCCCCTCCCGGCTTCCTGCCGGCACATCTTCCCCAGGCGCGGGCCGCAGCGGATCTCGGGCCGCCGTCCAGCACGAGCACGGCAGCCACGCCCCTCACGTCACGTGACGGCCCGCGGGAGCAGGCGGCTCTCCTGGGCTGGGCTCGCGGCGTCGCTCCGCCCGCCTGGCCGAGCGCCGCAGTCCGGCTGCGCTGCGGCTTACAGAGCCCCGCGGCCTGGCCCAGAGGGCAGGCTCCCTGCGAGGTAAGAGGCGCGGGTTCTGCCGCGGTGCGGCCAGTCTGCGGGAGCCAGGGGCCTGGAGCGCCGTGGGGGGCGGGGGGTCAGGCCGCGCTGAGGGAAGAGCTGTGCCTCGGTTTCCCCGCCTGCACCGGCCCGGGGTCTGGAGGACGTGCTCCCCTGCGGTGGCCTCCAACCTTGGGGTTTGAGAGCCTTGGTCTAGGATGCAGGAGTGAGTCTGGGGTCGGGCAGTAGGACAGGGGGCTTGTTTTGCGCACGGCGCGGAGAGTCAGTTTGAGAACTTAGGATGCAGGAAGAAAGAGCCCCTTGCCTGGCCTCAAGACTGAAGAACTAATGGGAAAGCCATTTGAAGAGCCAGAACTCCGAAGTTCAAGTTTTAGTTCTCCCCCCTACTAGCCATGCAACCTTGAGCCACGTCGATGCTGCTTTTATTAAAAGTAGAGATACTACTTCGCTCATAGGCTGCTGTGAGGATTGAATATAAAGGATGTTTAGCGGAGTGCGGGACAGAGGGCCCCTGAGGGAGTGCATTTAATAAGAGTGCATTTAATAAGCATTATTAAGATAGTCAACTGGAGAAGGACTCCAGAAGAGGCGTCTTTCTTAGAACAGTCACACTTAAGTCACTGTGTGTGTGAGATCCTAAACACAGTGCCATTTTGGTTGTAAGGACTCTCTCCCCTTTCCCAGGCCCCTTTTGCCGTCTGTTTTACATTGGCATGTGAACCTGTTGTTCCAACCAAATGAGTCAGGCAGGATGGGAACATTAATTTACTTGAGCAGATGGGTATCAGATTCCCTCTGAGGGAAGAAAACTGCCAGACATGTACTATCACCAAAAAAAGCACAGTGCAGTGATGGTCACTCGGCTGGAAGATGCCTAGGAACCCATATAATCTAGCTGTCTCCTGCAAAGGGAGAAATCGGACCCAGAATGAGGCCAGGATTTTGATTTTGGTCAGGCTTCCAACAGGGTTGGCACTGGATGGTAGAAAGAATGTGCTGTCCAGTGTCCCCGTGTTCTAACTTAATCTTCATTTATTCAGCAGTATTTATAGAATATCTCCTGCATGTTTGGACCTACAAGCAGCTAGGGATAGAGCTGTGAGCCAGATGATGGTGTCTGCCCCCATGGAGCTGTTTCCATAGCTAGCTATGTTAGTTTGAGGTTATATAAAATCCCTTTGTGTGTGTGTGTGTGTGTGTGTGTGTGTGTGTGTGTGTCCCTCTGCTGGTTCTCAGTATGTTTTATAATAACAAGTTCCAGCTCCCAGAGAGCTTGCCTCATAGCAGCTGGCCCCAAGGGATCCAAGCACACAAGAGAGGCCTAGGCCTGAATTGTTTCATGCTCTCCCTTCGTTCTCCAGCCCAGATGGAAGCCTGGTGAGATTTAAAGAGACTGGAGAAAATGGAGCTTTGTTGGAGCTTTTAGAAAAGGATTTCCTTCTGGCCTGGAACACTTGGATTTCTTTGGTTTCTGGCCTCTTATTGTTTTTAGATATCAAAAAAGAGCAACTCTCACCATAGTGCCTTCATTTTGGTTTCCATGGTTATCAGGGGAATTACATTTCACAAGTAGCTATTAAGCAAACTATTTAAAAAAAGCTATTAAGTAAACATGGTCAGCCAGTCACCCATTCACCAAGGGTGAATCGCTCGCTGGCGATGGTCTACTTTCTGGTTTGCTTTATTTTTCCATAGTAGTGCAGACCTACTGCCCCTTTCCTTTTTCTCTCCTTCCTTCTTTCATTCTTTCTGTTAGTAAGTGGTGGGGTGAAGAGGAGTGGGAATAAGTAGAACAGATAAAAATAGTCAGACCCTGGTCTTGGGCATCTCAGAATCATTTTTCTTTGCCCCAGTCCCTGCCCCCACTTTTTTCCAGTGCATGGGGTATGGCTAAGTGTAAGGGGCAGATTAGTGGGCCTCTGATAAAGTGTAGATGGAGAGCCAGCAAGAGCTCTCAGAGGCAGGAGGGGTAGTGTCTTGGGTAATCAAGAACACTTTGCCTACTCTTCAAAGGAAATGTGAGAGAAACAAGTTCCATTCACAGCCTCAGTCACAGGGATAATAGCACAGGAGCATTTTGTTCCTTGACTTTGCCTTAATGAATGAACCTTCCGCTCTTGAGTCACCCATCATGGGCTTTGTTATGCACTAACTGCTAATTTCCCTCATCACCCTCTTTCTATTAGCTTGATGGTTTATTAGTTTCCCAGTCATCTGACATACTGGGCATTGTAAACATAAAGGTAGAACAGAGAGGCATGTGTTTAAGATCACTTCTGTTTCAGTTTAGATGTTTAACCTGTATGTCTCATTTTACCAGTTGGGCTCTAATGCAGTCACACATTTCTTCTTTTCAAGTAACCTCCTGTCTTCTAAAGCCCTCATTAGTGAGAATTCCAAGCTCTCTGGAGGCTTAAATAGCCTCAAGGGGTACTTCTTCCTGTCACTCTAAGGAGGAGAGAGGACCCTGAGCAAGTGAACCCACATTGTTATCTTTGACACAGCTACATGGTGTCACTGTTGAAGAGCTGTCCTGCACAGTACAAGGATGTGTAGTCCCTGCTGCCTGGCGCCCTTTGTGAACCAGACCCCTGCCAGGAAGATCCCCTGCTTGGATTCCCAGGTTAGAGCTTTTTTTAGTCCATGCTCATGTGCTTAACAGTGTTCCCCAAAGCACCGCATACTGAGCATTGCATTGAGCCTGCGACTAGGCTGGCTGCTTCTGGCCTCCTGGAGTCATCCCAGACCACTGGAGATTTCCTATTTTGAAACCTTTTAGCAGAATTTAAGGGTCGGTCCCCTTTCCTTTCTCTAAGTTTAACCCAAGTCCCTTTGGAAAGTTGGTTCCACTTCCTCTGTAGGATCTTGCCTAACCAAAGCTTCTCAGGAAGGGTCACATTTTAACAAGATGTCCCCCTAGTACTTTGGGTGCCTTGCTTTTCAGCATATAAGAGGGGTCCTTGGGTGATTCTTGGCAAAGCATGCATTTGTTCCCAGGTGACTATCTCTAGCTGCAGTCAATCCTAAGAGGTTAGACAATTGAAGACATTCCTTACTTAATCCAGGTGTGTTGGTGCATGCCTATAGTCCCAGAAATATAGAGGTAAAAGCAGGAGGGTCAGGAGTTTAAAGCCAACCTAGGTTACTTGAGAACCTGTCTCAAAAAAAAAAAAAAAGACTGGGGGCAGGGGGTGCTGCACACCTTTAATCTCAGCACGTTGGGAGACAGAAGCAGATGGATATTGGGAGTTCGAGACCAGCCTGATCTATATAATGAATTCCAGGCTATCCAAAGCTACATAGTGAGACTCTCTCTCCAAAAAAAAAGAAGAGAAAGAGCCAGTTGTAGTGGCACACACCTTTAATCCCAGCACTCAGGAGGCACAGGCAGGCCTGGCCTCCATAGTGAGTACAGGCCAGCTAGGGGTCCAGGGAGACCCTGTCTCATAAAGACCAAAAGAAAAGGACAAAAAAAAAAAAAAAAAAAGAAGAAGAAGAGAAGGAAAGAAAGAAAATATGCCTTACTGAAATTTTCTTGGTATCCCTGTTAGGGATTTGAGAGACAAGATTTTAAATAAAAAAATGAAGGAGTATGACTAGACATGGTGACATATCTTTAGTCTCCACTCTTGAAAGGCTGAGACAGGAGCATTGCATGGACCTAGGAGAAGTTTTAGGTTAGTCCAGGCAGTGTGGCAAGATCTCATCTCAAAACAAAAAGCTGGTTATGAGTTTTTTAAAGGTGAAGATTTTATATTCTCTCATTTTTTCTAAGAAGCAATATAGTCATTGTTTTGACCTTTGTTTTTACTCTGAAATTTAATATCAGGCTGGAGAGATGGCTCAGCAGTTAAGAGAACTAGCTGCTGCTCTGGTGTTTGGTGCTCAGCACCATCCTTAATTCTAGTTACAGGGGATCTGACTCCCTCTTCTGGCCTCTGCCAGATGTAGCACCACACACAGGTATACTTACATATATGCAGGCAAAATACTCATGCACATAAAATTAAAATAAATAAGATTCTTTTAAAAAGAAAGATAATATATAGAGAGCAAATGTATAGTTTAACAAATAATTATGCTGGTGGTGGTGGCACATGCCTTTAATCTCAGTACTCAGGAGGCAGAGGCGGCAGATCTTTGTGAGTTCAAGGCCAGCCTGGTCTACCTAGCAAGTTCAAGGCCAGCTAGGGCTACAGGGAGACCCTGTCTCAAAAAGACAAACAAACAAAAACCAAGTAATTATAAAGGGACTACACATGGAAGCACCACTGCCTCAGGAAATAGACTTCCCTCCATACCCTGACCTCTTTCCCAAAGAAGCTACTATCGTGATCTGTGTAGTAACAATCTGTTTGCTTTCTAATCCATCGCCTATATGTGCATCCCTAAGCAATAACTACTTTAGCTTCATGCTTATGAGATCACTAGCACTTTGTGTTTTGCTTCTTTTGTTCAGTGTATCATTTGGCATGCCTCCACGTGGCGGCCTCACATATATTGCTAACAGTGTGTGATGGTATGAATAAGTCACAATAAGTTTGTTCATTCAGTAATGGATGGATATTGGGTTGCTTATAGTTTCTGGCTGCCAGGCATATCTTCAGACATATTTTTTCTTAATTTTTTATTATATTTATTTATTGGGGAGGAAGGCATGCTTGTGCTACTGTGTATGTGCAGAGGTCAGAGAACAACTTTCAGGAATTGGTTGTCTGTGTTTACCCCGTGGGTTCTGGGGATTGAACTCAGGGTATCAGGGTTGCCAGGCAAGCGCCTTTACCCACTGAGCCATCTCACCAGCTCCCCTCAGACACTGTTTATGGACAAGCTACTTTAGGCTACATGCCTCAGAGTAGAATTCCTTCTTTGTTGTTGTAGTTTGGGGGGTTTGTTTGTTTGTTGAGATGAGATCTTACTCTGTATTTTTTAGTCTGTCTTGAAACTTGCTGTGTAGCCCAGACTAGCCTGGAACTCTCAGTAATCCTCCTGCCTCAGATTTCCCAGTGCTGGGATTACAGGCATGAGCCAACATGCTTAGCTTCTAAATTACTTTGTTATAGCAGTTTGTGAGTTCTACTTGCTTCTAGTCCTTGGAGATAATTTGCTTTTGTCAGTTATGGATTTTTAACTATTCTTGTGTGTTATGATAGTGCTTGTGTCTTTAACTCACTTTCCTTGGTTACTACTGATACTGAGCACTTGTTTGTGGCTAATTGGATGACTTTATGAAATACCTATTCCTGTCTTTCCCAGTTTTTCAAGTTTTCACAGTGCTAAAGAATCAAAACCCAGAGCCTTGAACATGCAAAGCAAGCAGTCAGCTGCTGAGCTCCCATCTCCAGCCTCTGCAGCTCTCTTCTCCATCCTCTTTTAAAATTTATTTTTTATGCCTACATGTTCTGCCTGCATGTATGTAAGTGCACCCATATCATGCAGTGCTATGGAGGACAGAAGAGAGTGTCAGATCTCCTGGAACTGGTGTTACAGATGGTTGTTAGTTGCCACGTGGGTATTGGGATTTGAACCCCGGTCTTCTATAAAAGCAGCCAGTGCTCTTAACCACTGAGCCATCTTTCTAGCCCCTTATTATTATTACTATTATTATTATTATTGTACATGTACATGATGTGTATGTACATGCCACAGGGGGTGTGTGCGTGTGTGTGTGTGTGTGTATGTGTGTAGGTCAGAGGACAACCTTGTGGAGTCAGTTCTCCCCTGTGTTTATATGGGTTCTGGGAATCAAACTCAGGTTATCAGGCTTAAATTTTACATGGGTCCCAGAAATTGAACCCTTGTGGTCAGGCCCGGCAAGCACTTTACCCACTAACCCATCCTCACACATGGTGATGTCTTAGGCCCTATTTCTGTAGAGCAGACCGGAAGTGGGAATTCTTGTTTAAGTGATCTACTGTGATATGTGCAGGAGGAGAAGATAAAGGAAGAGAGGTAGAGCTAAGTGTATTGACAGTTCTCTGGAGAAGGGGACATCTCTGAGTTGCCAGCTGCCATTTTCATCGAAAATGGGTATACTAGCCAGTGAAGAGTTGGGTGGAGTCCAACTCTACAGTCCACCTTTTGCAGCATTCAGAAATGTACGCAGCCTGCCTGGCAAGAATGAACATATTTTTAAATTATGTATATGTGTGTACGTCTAAGGTCTGTATGTGGGCACATGCATGTGCATACAGGACGTTTGGATCCTCCTGGAGCTGTAATTACAGGCAGTTGGGAACCACCAGTTGTAGGTGCTGGGAACTGAACTTGGGTCCTCTGGAAGAACAGTACATGCCAGGTCAAACCTGGCTTGTTGGGGAACTGGACATGCTCCTAAGTAACAGTCTGGAGCAGGACAAAAGGCACATTTTGCCGTGCCTGCCACCTGCAACAAGTTGACCTCAGATGGACAGGAAAGATTGAAAGGGCCAGCAGCCAGAGCCCTTTCATTCCAGGGATGCCTTTGTCTTCACCTCAGTCAGCATCTGCTTTTTACCTCAACTTGGTGAAGCAGGGGGGAAACAAAAAAAAAACTAGTATTTGGACTTTGTTTTGCTTCTCAAGAAAGTCTGACTCTTGTTAAGGTTCTCCCTTGTTGGTGTACCTCAGGCTTTGCTTTTCTGTTTGGGGGATTTTCTTAGCAATTTCAGGCTCTTGTGAAGCACCGTTGGTGATTGCCATTTGCTGACTGGCTTTGTCTTTTGGGGTGCTTCTGTTTAACTATTTGGGCCATTAGGTGGGACAGTTCTCTTGAGCAAAGTTGGGATATCTGCCATGTAACTGGAAAGGTTTGGGGTTCTATTAAGTCTTTGGCGTTCTCTTGAACTGTTTGATAAACAGAAACGAGGGCTCTGAGGAAGTCCCTGCTGTGATTTATGTCACCACGGAAGTATTTGTCTTTATGCTCGTAGGTCTTGAACCAGGACCTCCTTACATTCAGGCAAGTGCCCTACTATTGGGCTAAATATCTTCAGCTGCTCCAGAAATTTCATTGTACCAGAGTTGAGAGATTAAAATTGAAATGATAAATACCCTTACTCTTCTTTTGGGAGGACAAGGACCCCCCGAACTCCATTTATTCCCCAGTTGTAAATGCTGTATGCGGTCTTTAATTGTAGTCACTTAGGGACCTACTGAGTAAAAACGGGGAGAAAGCAAAGAGTTTGCTTAAAAAACTATTTTTCAGAACTCTGATTGCATGCGCTCAGCCTAGACTGTCTGAATTTTTAAAAGAAAACCTGGGACTGGAGAGATTGCTCAGTGGTTAAGAGCATTGCCTGCTCTTGCAGAGGACCCAGATTTGGTTCCTAGCACCCACATGATGGCTAACTGTCCATAACTCCAGTTCCAGAGAATCTGATGCCCTCTTCTGACCTCCTTGGGCATTGTATGACATGGGTACACTTACATATATGCAGGCAAAGCACTCATACACATAAAATATAAATACATTTTAAAATTAATTAATTTTAAAAAATCTAGCAAGGTATGGTGGCACACGCCTTTAGTCCCAGCACTTGGGAGGCAAATCAAGTAGATCTCTGTGAGTTCAAGGCCATCCTGGTCTACATAGAGTGTTCTAGGCCAACTGGGGCTACAGGGAGACTTTGTTTCAAAAAGATCAAAAATGAAGGGAGGCAGGGAGGGAGGAAGAAAGAAAAAAAGAAAAGAAAATCTGTTGGCTTTAGAAAGAAAACCTCACCTTCATGCCCTTCCTAGTTTCCTGGATTCTACAGGTACTCCAGGTTGAAAACACAGATCTAAAATGCCATGCTCCACTTGTGAGTGAGAGCAGGAGATCTTTGTCTTTCTGGGTCTGGGCTTCCTCTTTCATTATAATTTTTTCCAATTCCATCTATTTTCAAGTTTCATAATTTTGTTTTGCTTTACAGCTGAATAAAATTCCATTGTGTGTAGCTACCACATTTTCATTATTCATTCATCAGTTGATAGACATCTAAGGCTGTTTCCATTTCCTAGCTATTGTAACTACAGCATCGATGAACATGCATGGGTACATATATCTGTAGTAGGATATGGAGTCCTTTGGATATATGCCCAGAAGTGGTGTAGCTGGGTCATGTGGTAGATCTGTTTCTAGTTTTGTTGTTATTGTTGGTTTGTGACAGGGCCTCTTGTTAGGCCCAGAAGGCCTAGAACTCACTGTGTAGACCAGGCAGAGAGATCCGCCTGCCTCTGCCTCCCAAGAGCTGGAATTAAAGGTATGCACCACCATACCAGGTCGCTGTTTCTAATTTTTGAGGAACCTCCACACTGTTTCCATAGGGGCTCCACTAGTTTGCACTTTCACCAACAGAGAATGAAGGTTCCTCTCTACCCATATCCTTGCCAGCATTTATTATTTGTTTTCTTAATTTTAACTATTCTGATGAGGGTAAGATGAAATCTCAAAGTAGTTTGAATTTTCTTTTCCCTGATGGCTAAGGATGTTGAACACTTGAAAATATTTCTGAGCATTTGTAGTTCTTTTTTAAAAATTACAGCTACTTATTGTGTGTGTGTGTGTGTGTGTGTGTGTGTGTGTGTGTGTGTGACCACACAAATGCGGAGGTCAGAAAACAGTTTACAGGAGCGGGTTCTCCTTCCACATGTGGGTTCCTGAGATCATACTCAGGTCAGGTTGATGGCAAGTGCCATTACCTTTGAGCCTTTTCACAGGCCCATAGTCACTAGTTCAGTTCCATAGCCCAATTTTTAATTGAGTTGTTTGTTTTCTTAATGTTTAGTTGAGTTCTTTGTATATTCTAGACACTAATCCTCTATCAGATGTATAACTAGCAGATTTTTTTCCCCATTTGGTAGGCTGTCTCTTCAGTCAGTTAACACCTTCCTTTGCAGTACAGAAACTTTTAGTTTCACAAAGTTCCACTTATTGATTGTTGATGCTATTTCCTGCGCCACTAGGGTCCTACTCAGATCTTTACCTGAGCTTTATCTTGAATTGTACTCTCTCCTTTCTGTGATCTGTTTGGAATTTATTTTTGTGCAGGAAGACAGAGAAGGCCAAGTTTCCTCCCCAAAACTCAGGGAACATCTTAGAAGAGAGGGCAGAAAGATTGTAAGAACCACAGGTAGAGGAGGACCAGGTGAAACAGCCTTCTGGATGTGACTGAGCCACTGCACCCATGAACACCCAGCAGCTGTGGTTGCCTGCACAAGATCAAGCTAGTCAGTATTCCAGCATAGACTGAGGAGGGGCTCACAAGCCCCCACTAATAGTTGAGGAGCTATTGATAATGGATGGATGCTAGGGGAAAGAGAGTCAGGTTTTTTTAAGGCAGTGGTCCCTGGTAGGTCAGCCATGCTCTAATGGATAACCTTATACCCATGCACATACAGGCAGCACAAAATGGACTCAATGGGTTGTAAAAAAGTAACTTTTTGTTTTGAAAAAAAAGAGGACATGACGTTGGGGTGAGTAGAGGGTCGATCTGGGAGGAGTAGAAGTAAATATGATCAAAATACATTGTATGCATATGTGCAATTCTCAAAGAATTAATAAAATTTTATATTAAAAGAAAATTTCAAGCCAGCAAGATGGATCAGCAGGTAAAGGTGTTTGGCGACAAGCCTGATGATCTGAGTTCAATCCCCAGAACCCACATGGTGGAAGGAGACGACCAACCCCTGAAAGTTGTCTTCTGGCCCTGGCCTCCACACGTGCTGTAACAGGTCCGATGCCCCCCACCTCTGCCAATACAATAAAAGTAAAAGAGAAAATCTCCTTTTGTCTTTCTCAGTCCCTGTCTCTTGGATTTGCCTACATTGCTGAGTTCCTCAAGAGATCTCTCCTGAGTGTCTCCCTTCCTGTCAAGGTGTGTGGATCTTCCGTCTACTTTGGATCAAGTATCTCTCCCAGTTAATTCTTAAAGAGCTAAGGCTCTGTGAGTGACAGCCCAGCTGTACTAAATGGACTGGGAGCAGGGTTCTAAGAAAGGAAGGTATTGGGCCTGATGGCACAGACCTGTAGTCCCAGCTTCTTGAGAGATTGAGGGAAGAAGAGGATCACAAGTTTAAGGCTTACTGGGGCTACAGAGTTGAGTTCAAGTTCAGGTGAGGCAACTTAGTAGAGCTTTGTCTCAAGAAGAAGAGAACTGAGGATATAGCCCAGCATGTGCAAGACCCTGGGATTAATCCTCAGTACTGGGAAGCAGGGTAGACTAGAGATGCTGCTTACACCTATAATCCTAGCACTTAGGAGACAGAGTAGGAAAATCACGAGTTTGAGAAGACTTCTGGCAATGTAGCTCAGTGGTAGAATGCTTGTTTAATATGCACAAGGCCCTAGGTTCAATTCCCAATACCCTCCCCCAGCCCCACCCCCAAAAAGGAGCATGCCTGTGCAGAGTAACTGAGGACTTGGGGCTGCTGTGAACCCGGGCCTTTCATCTTGATTGGAAAGTCCTGACTTAAGAGCCTATCATTCTTTTTTTTTTTTCTTCTTTTTTCTTTCCTTTTCTAAAAAATTATTTTTTTTTATGTGTATGAGTATTTGCCCACACATATGTAAGTGCATCCATGTCATACTGAGGAAACCAGAAAAGGGTTTTCAGATACTCTGGAACTGGAGTTAGGGATGGTTCTTAGCTGCCATGGGGGTGCTGGGAGCTGAACCTGGGTCCTCTGCAAGAGCAACCAGTGCTCTCAAGCAGTGAGACATCTCTCCAGCTCCTTAAATGATTAATTTAGTTTAGTTATTTAGTTTTGAGCCAGGGTCTCTTTGTTGCCCCAGCTGGTCTGGAACTCTGTATTTAGACCAGGTTGGACTCAGTCTCACAGAGATCCACCAGCATCTGCCTCCTAACTGCTGGGATCAAAGGTGTGCATCACCATGCCTAGCTCCTATCATTCTTAATAGACCACATATGTCCTTAGGATAAACCCTCCTTTGTTTGTGCTTGAAATCAAAAGACTCCTATAATTTGATATTTGGAACTTGGGGACAGTCTTTACCTGGGTGAATTTCTGTTACTGCCAGTGCTAGTCTAATCATTCTGAATAACAGAACTTACTCTCTTTGCTATTTGGTGGTCAAGCACCACAAACCTGTTTGCCTCCATTCCAATAAAGAATTTCTGGGGCTGGAGAGATGATTCAGCATTTAAGAGCATATGCTGCTTTCAGAGGATCTTGGTTCTGTTCCCAGGACCCACATCAGGTGGCTCACAACCACCTATAACTCCAGCTCCAGGGGATCTGACATCCTCTTCTGGCCCTGTAGGCACCTATCCTCAGTGCACATGCCCACACACAATACATAATTAAATACACTCATACACATAAAAAATAAAAATAATATGATCTTGGCCAGGTGTGGTGGCACACGCCTTTACTCCCAGTACTTGGGAGGCAGAGGCAGGCAGATCTCCATAGTGAATCCAAGACAGGGCTACAGGGAGACCCTGTCTCGAAAAAACCAAAATAATAATAATAATAATAATAATAGTAATAAAATATTTTTTAAAAAGAAGAGTTCTTGGCAGCCAGGCGTGGTGGTGCACGCCCTTAGCCCCAGCAGAGGCAGGCAGATCTCTGTGAGTTCAAGGCCAGCCTGAACTCATAGTGAATTCTGATTCACTGATTGTAAGCGGAGGACATAGGCAGTGAACTCCACACTCTTACTTCCTCTGCACCTCAGACAGATGGTGGTGTTTCCTAAGAAGCCGTGAAAAGTGATTCAAAATGGAGTGAAGACAAGCGAAAGGGATTTGATTTAGGAAAAGGAAAAAATTAGGAGAGAGGGAATCCATCACCACTTATTGTATGTTTACTGTGTATCATGCTTGGTGACTGCTTCCCAGCCAGCCTCTCTCCTTTCATGTACCTAACAGCTCCCTAAGGTAGTATTAGCACCATTTTTACAGATGAGGAAGAACAGCCAGAGACAGCTGACTTCATTGAGTGGATAATGTCACCAGTAAAGCAGCAATCACTTGGTGTGGAATTGCCTCAAGTTGAGAGTGATAAAAGAGAAGTGGCTGGAGCAGTTAGTGGCTGGTTGGGAGGCAGGAGGTGATGGGAAAGGGACACTAATCAGATGATTCCCTGTGCAGAGTGGGCAGCTTGGGAGGAGACCAGGGGGAAGCATCCGTAATGTCTAGGTGGTTGGTGTCCACTTGCTAAGTAAGGGACTCTGGGTTTTCATAGATTTTGACTTGAAGTTCTCAGTGCTTAAGCCAGGTTTCCTAGTGGAATGCCATTTGTCAGTCCAACTCAGACATTTTGTAATACTCTAGTGCGTAATAATTGCAGGACCAACTTCATCCTTCTCATGGTCTATGAGTTTATGTGTACATCTGTGACAGCAAGGCAGGAGGTCCCATACCTTCACTAGCTTTGAATGCCAACATTCTAAGGGGCCTGGGAGGAAGTTACTACAGGGGCTTGGCCTTAGCTCAGGATGGGAACCCAGCTGGGTTTCTTGGAACTGTTCACTGACACCAGGAATGCAAGTAGCAGTGTCTCTTGTGTTGCTGTAAGTGCTTATTGAGCTGACGTGGGCACAGCACCTGAATATAGTAAGCGCTCAAAGTAAGTGCTCAAACGCCCTTCCCCACTCCTCCAGGTCACTTGTTAAGTTTGTAAGAATCAGGATTAAGGGCCACTTCTGAGGAGTCCCTGAGGCATGTTCCCTCCTAGTTGAACTTCAGTGAGCAAGTACTCTGCTGATAGAGGAGGGGAGAGGAACGGTCCTTAACACTTGAACTACTCAAGGCCCTGATTTGTGTCAGTGCACAGTGTTCTGAGTTATGGCATTCAATTTCAAAGCTGAAAATACTATCGAGACTTAAAAAATGATAGAAAGTCCAGCCAAGACATCTGTCATGCTCAGAGTTTCAGTCTCCTCTCATTCCAAAGTGTGTGGGTATGTGTAGGTACGGGGTGGTATAGAGAGGGCTCTTCGTGGTTCCTGTTTTAGTCTTTAGAACAGATTCAAATTAAAACCCACAAAAGTAGAGAAATTGATTCGAAGATTTTAAATCATTAACCCGTTGTAGTTACTTTGCTGGTACAGCTCGTTCTTATTTAACTGGTGCTTTGTATGCCTCAGTGTGGGTGGAAAGTCATGTTTTCCCCCTACTACGTTGCTACTGAAGAGGGTTCAAGCTGCCCTCGATCCCTAGACTCCTCCTGATTTTTGAAATTAAATCTAATTGTCCACCACTCTGTTACTAAGATGTCCCCCCTAAGTAGAAAGCAAATGGTTTTTGTTGTTTTGGCTTTTTGAGACAAAGTCGTGCTTTGGAGCCCAGGCTGGCCTCAAATCTGGATCCTCCTGTTCTCTGCCTCCCACATGCTGGGATTACAGGTGTATACTACCACGAGCTATTTTCTTCAGGATCTGATCACAAAACATGAAAGAGTTCAGTAACCTGCCTGCACTCAAGGTTAGCTAGCCAGTGTGGGAGAGGCAGAGCCCAATCTATAATGTGAAGCTCAGGGCCCTCTTGTAAGGAGTCATTTCTCCCTGATGTGTGATACAACCTTTTATGCAGGGACTCAGGGCAGCTCCCTAAATTAACTAGCAGCTCTATACTCTGATGGTGTGAACCATCAGGCCTTTTGCTCTGACCCCCTTCCAACTCCTGGAACTGCATGTCTAAGAACTGTCAAAGCTTGTCTGGAGGCCTAGGCCTCCCTCAGGGCTTTTGCTGACATCGTCTTCCTGTGTTCCCTTCCTTCCTCCATTCTCCAGGTGGCTGAGTCCCACTCACACCTCAGATACTCACTCACCCATGCCGCTTGCTTGCCTCACAGTGATTAAAACAGTCTTTGAGATTAGGCTCAGCTTCGGTGTCTCTGCTCCTCTCCTCTCTAGATGACTTAGGGCAAGTCCCTTGTCATTAAAGTTCTCTGCAGCGGAGTTCCTTCATCCATCTGTAAAAGGAAGGCAATACTACTTTAAATCAGTGCTTCTCAGACTTGGAGTCCACACAGGTTCCCAGTGATCTTGTTAAAATGTCATATCTGGGGCTGGAGAAATGGCTTAGCAGTTAAGAGCACTTGCTGCTCTTGCAGAGAACCCAGGTTTGAATCTCAGCACCCACATGGCAGCTAATAGCCATCTGTAACTCCAGTTCAGGGAATCTGACACCGTCTTCTGGCTTCCAAGAGCACTGCACAGCACAGGTGCACTTGCATATACACAGGCATAACACCCATACATATAAAACAAAAAGTCTTAAAATAATAAATAAAATGCTACATCTGACCCAGTAGGTAGCAGTGGTGCCCAAGATTGTTTCTAACAAACCTCTAGATCATGGGAAGAGATATGGGAAGAATAAGAGGAAAAGATACATGAAAAGGTTCCTTGTGGGAATGACTTCTGAGAATGCCTCTTTTACAATACGGATATGTTTCCTTTATAAAATAAAGAAGGGAGAGCATAGCTCCCAGAGAATCCGAAGGAACAGGTTCTCAGCTGATCCACTCTTGGCCTTAAACTATCTACTAAGAATCATACTTAGCCAGGCATGGCAGCACATACCTTTAATATCCGCACTTGGGAGGTGGAGGCAGGTGGATCTCTATGAGTTTGGGGCTGGCCCAGTCTATGTACCAAGTTCTAGGCCAGCCGGGGGCTACATAATGAGACCCTGTTTCAATAATAATATATTTTTTAAAGAGTCATGGCTGGGCATGGTGGCACACACCTTTAATCCCAGCATTTGGAAGGCAGAGGCAGGTGGATAGAGACCAGCCTGGTCTACATAGTGAGTTTCAGGCCAGTGGAGGCTACAGGGAAACCCTGTCTCAAACAAAAACAAAGAGTCAGCTGTCTTAATTTAAACATCGTCATAATGTGGCATCA